AAAAAAAAAAAAAAAAAAAAAAAAAAAAAAAAATCCCCTCTTTATTTTGTAATTTGACCATTATGTGATCTCTTACTATTTGAATGTATGTCCGTCCATGTTTGGATACGTTACAAAGACGACGCAACCATTACTCCCAACAATTTTTGTGACATGTATTCAGCCAGCGAAGCAATTAAGCCTTAAAATACCATATAATTTGTTTTGTGCTGAATTAATTTATTAATTATTTGTGAGCGCTAGTATACGGAAAGTTGCACATTCGACAATTCTTAGGTTAAAGTATTCTATCGAGATATTACAAATTACCTTTCGGCAAAGGAATATTGAGATAATCGAGAAGACACAATATGTGTTAACTATCCCTTATGTTTGGCTGTAGAACAAAACTGCTCATAATTAGTAAGTTCTCTTAGTCATTGCCTGTGGCTGTTGTTGTTGTTCGGCCAAGTAGTATATTATTTTGGAACATCAGAAGAATGATTCCTTCCACGTAGTAAGAAGCAGCTTACAATGTATCACTTCGATGACTTGTATACTTTTACTACTACTTGCGGCCATATTTGTATAGAAGGTTTTCATCATAGCCTTCTTAGGTATTTAAAAGGTAATAAAATAACGCCTTCTCACTTTCAAAAGAAAATATTTTTTGGTTAGTGTAGATGGTTGCACAAATCGTCAAGAATGGTTTTCTTAAGCTCGTTCGATTGGCATTTTGTATTTGTAATACGTGATTTCAAGTTAAACCTCGCAAGTTTGTATCAGTATTTTCCTTTTCTGCTAAGGTTTTGGATCTTGAAATTGATGCTCTACCGCACCCCCCCCCTCCCGAAAACAAATCGATACATTAAAAGTTTTCATTTTATATGTTAATATTGCGTAACTTATCTCTATATGTATAGTAAACAAACAGCTTTAATCCAGAGATGTAGTCATATTGGTCTTATAATTCGTTCAGATGTAAGCGTTGATTTTATCTTCTTTTTAATATCTAGATTTACCTATTGCGTTAATGTAATCCAAGCAGAATTAGCGGGGAAAATGAAGTTCTGGCAGCAGTTATCTGACCTGTACATTGGTCTGTGTTTGTATAAAATATTTGTTTTAAGTTTATATGTTGAGTACTGTTGGACACGGTTTTGTTAAGTCAAGCCTTTGTTATTATTTTTTTTTTGTTTTAAAATCATGATTTCATGGAGTTGTTTGAGAAAACAGTATACAAATAAAAACGGTGTAATCCCGTGATTTGTTTGATATTTTGTGAGTATTTTCAGGCAGCATTTCAAAAGGTAGTGTGTTTAGTGTTCTGCATTTTAACTAAGAACTATGCTTTGTCATAAATGTGACAGAAAATAAGTGAATTAAACCAGTGGGACCGGAATCAAATTATTAGAATCTAGCACATGGGATTAAATGATTAGAATTTGGCACATAGGATTAAATTATTACTATCCGGCCCGGCACATAGTTAAATTCTTAGAACTATGTACGAAATAGAAGCATATTCAGAAAAGGCTTAAAGAATGAGGGGCTTTAAATGTATGATGTAGAGGTGAAATTGGGTTGAACCTCTTGAGTGTGTGGTGTTCCACGACTGGTAGATTGTGAACCTCTTGAGTGTGTGGTGTTCCACGACTGGTAGATTGTGAACCTCTTGAGTGTGTGGTGTTCCACGACTGGTAGATTGTGAACCTCTTGAGTGTGTGGTGTTCCACGACTGGTAGATTGTGGAAAGAACTGGGTGCGTTTCAGGTAGTGTCGTCTTGGTAGTGTTTTACAAAAGGAAGGGAGACTCGAAAAATTACGTTAAATAGATAGCAATTTACAGGGTATATCAATATTTAAAACATTTTTTGGATACTTAAAAACTGTCTGAACACGAATAATCTGTTACTATCTTAGAAGTATTCGGAAATCTTGTAGAAACTTACTTAGCAAACCCACTGAATTCCTCCTCTCATAAACTGTATACTGCCACATGATATTCAAGTTAGAGACTGTAATACAGAAATGAATTTAAACCACTAATAGTCTAGTAAATCTTAAAACTAGCATCAAACAGATAGCAATAAAAACAAAGCTAACAAGATTTGTGCTCAACAAATTAAAAGTAAAGGAAAATATAATTCTAGTAAAAACCGTAGATATATATATCCACCATATTGGCTTCCATCATGTTTTTGAAATTGGCTTTTGTTAGGAGTGTATAGTCAGCATTCATAACGATGCAGTCGAATGTATCAACTGGTTACATTGATGTAATTGTACTAAATCAGTATCAAATAAGTGTTTGTATTTTGCATGTTTATATGACTTACAAAATGTTGATCAAACAAAAGTACTCGGGCGCAAAACCGTAAGAGACGATGAACAGAAACGTAAATATTCATTTAAGGAAGGGGATAGTAGGAACACTTATTAAAAAATCTGCAGCAAAGATTTATCATTAAATTGTTCACATAAATCCCCCCCCCCCCAGCTTCTGTTTCAGAGACGTCACTGTTGCTTAAAACATGACAAAGGTAGTACCATTACTGTTCATATATGAGCTATGCATTGCTACTGTAGCCAGTTCGAATCCCATGACCATGAGAAGGTTATATTAGCTGATTAATTTTGGTCAATTCAGGACAATCTAGTTTGTCAGTTGCTACATGAGGAATAAGTTTACATGTTTTTGATGGTAGTTCGGGTTTCGTCGTTAGCCTCATAAATCAACATGACATTTACCTGTATGTGAAGTATGTGTCACTAAGACATGGGACTGTAGTTGTCATCTGATTATTATGGAAACAACCCATCAACAAAAGGTATTAAAACGAAGACAAGATGTGGTAGTGGATGTGTATTATTTTCACTGGTGACACACTGCTCTGCTCCGAGAAAGAGCTATTTATGGAAAATTGGAAGAATAATCACAAATTCATCCGTATGTTGAAGAACTTAGGTGTAGCCTTCCATGACAGAGGTGATTCTGACTTGCTTATTCTTTTCTTGAGCAAAGCTACACAACGGTCTATCTACACACTGTCCATCGCGAAGAATCGAATTTCAGATTTTAGCATTGTAAAATCTGTAAACTTACTGCTGACTCAGTTGGAGGCCCTGTTTATTGTGGAAAACAAAATGGAATCTGCAATGATCTATCCAACTACTGTGCTCATTAGTGAAAGCACTAACCTTTTAGTGCTTTTGTTGCACCATACGAAACATAACTACATTAACGCCTTCATATCAGAGGCAAAATCTAACAAATTAAGATTCAAGAAAGCAAATGTTTGGAACATTAAGGACACAAAAAGTGAGCTGCAGACCGATGTCCATAATTACATCATCTTTGCACATGCAGGTGGAGGGTGGGATACAGCATCTAGTTTTTTTTTTTTTTTTGAAGAAGTTAAAAGACCAGCCAACACTTTTGGGACAAAGCCAGTGTATTCATAAAGGAATCCAGTTCACAAAAGATCGTTGCAGTTGGAAAATTGAATGATTCCTGGACAAGTTACATCGTATTAAATTTATGAAGAAAGTTGTCATCAACGTCACCTTTGTTCAGACAATTTTCCCCTACTGTTGCAGCAACAAATAACGCTCTAAGAGTATGCTATGAAGTTAAAGATGAATGGTAGAAAAGTCCGCAAATATGGTTCCCTAGGACTTTGTATAACAGTTTGTTTGTTTTAAATTTCGCGCAAAGCTACACGAGGGCTATCTGCGCTAGCCGTCCCTAATTTAGTAGTGTAAGACTAGAGGGAAGGCAGCTAGTCATCACCACCCACCGCTAACTCTTGGGCTACTCTTTTAACAACGAATAGTGGGATTGACCAGAACATTATAACGCCCCCACGGCAGAAAAGGCGAGCATGTTTGGTGTGACGGGGATTCGAACCCGCAGATTGCGAATCGAGCGCCCTAACCAGCTGGCCATGCCGGGCCTTGTATAACAGATTTGCCAAAATGCCTTGTTCCTTTGCCGCTTACATCAAGTGAACTTCTTTGTATGATCCGCCGCAGTTGTAAAACTGACTGTTCATCCTCGAGATGTAAT